TGCCACGACGCGCGCGTGTGCTCATCGTCTCATTTGTTGCAAGGGATTCGTGAACAAGTGTTATGTTAGAGCAACAAATGTCACCGCATAGTGCTTTTTTTTACCAGGGAGCCTCGGGGGGGGGAAACCGGCCTAGCTGGGATGGTATGTATGGTTTCAGATTTAGGATGGACGAGTGTGCAGAATGTATATATATATATATATATATATATATATATATATATATATATATATATATGTATATATATATATATGAAATCGTATTATCCAGGGGGAACCGATAAGCCCAGGGGGGGGAGTCGATTCTTTTTTTAGAACGGAGAATTCACCTTTCCGACATTGAATTTGACAGCCCCACTGCTCGCGCAAACATCCTACCCGCCCACCAGCAATTTGGTGTGCAACACCCATGCGTCGGCGATTGCGTTGAATGCGCGACGTTGCCTGGTGCATCTGCGGCCGCACTAGCCCGCGCACGCTTGCGCGTGCAGCGACTTGCTTGTGCATCGCGACCAGCGCGGCCGCGGTGGCGCGACCGCTGGGCACTTCCAGCGGGCACGTCCATGTGAGCCGGTGACTTGGTGACTTGGGCTGACGCGGTATCATGGCGACGCCGACAACGGTAGACACGATGAAACAAATATTGGTGATGGTGAAGATGGTGGCGATGACGACGGCAAAGGCCCATTGCGGCGCCTTTTTCCATCACGCCCACCGAAGCCGATGACTATGTCTTCGCGTCGGTGATGAATGTTGTGGAAGGAGTTTGGCATGTGCGCGCGGCTGGCGCGTGCGAGTGGCCCGCGTGGTACTATTTGACGCAGGTCGTGCCCCCCAGCACGCGCGCAAGGGCGCTCGGATGAGTCCGGCATACAGCGCGAGGTGCCCGCCTGCCAAAACTTATGCAGAACAATGTATAAAATCATGTTGTTTGACTTTTCGGGATGACCGTTATTTTTGCGGAAGCCGAGGTTTTTTAGAGATTGCGGCGTGCGCGTGCGACGACGCGCGCGCGTGCATTCCGTACCGCTTGTGTGCAACATAGATTCTTGCGACAGTGCGCTCGCAAGGGCGTTCGAATGATTTAGATGTGCGCGCGCGAAAGGCCCGTTTGAACACCTCATGACCATGTTGGAAACCTGTTAGTTTTTTCCCACATCAGCAACAACGCGAACGCAGGCTTTCCGTGAACACCTGCGTTGCAAAACCAAGTTTTTTTTTGTGTTGCCTATGATTCGGCGTATCTGGATTCTGATATCCTTACGACACCCAACGTTGATAACAAAAATGAATTTGGCATGCGCGCGAAACGACACGCGTGACGTTTGATAACCAAATGCGCGCGCATAGGATTCTGTTACAGGGAACCGAGGGGGTGCGGCGATACCGGCTGGGTTGGGGTGCTCAGAGCTCATATTTCGGATGGGCGATGGGTCCGTTTCATATTTTCGACGCCTCGCATATCCCCACCAGCCCGTCCAGAAATGAGTCCCAGGGGAGTGGAGGTGATGAGGGAAGTGGGGGAGCATGCAGAAAAACAAAGGGCGGGGTAAGCCGCCATATGCCCCTAGAGGGGGGGGATGTAGGAGGAGTCGTCGTCATCGGAGTAGGAGGAGGAGCAGGAGGAGGAGCACGAGGAGGAGCAGGAGGAGGAGCAGGAGGAGGAGGGGGAGGAGGAGGAAGGGGAGAAAATGAGGTGGAGGAGATGGAGAGGCGACGTGGAGAGAAGGAGGAGAAAGAGAAAGAGGAGGAGGAGGAGAGGAGGAGGAGGAGGAGAAAAAGGGAGGGGGAGGAGGGAGGAGGAAGAAAAAGAGGAGGAGGAGGAGGAGGAGGAGGAGGAGGAGGAGGAAGAGGAGGAGGAGGAGGAGGAGGAGGAGGAGGAGGACAATGGCGAGCTTGGGGGCCTCTTGGGCCGTCTTTGGGGCCTCTTGGCGGTCCCGGGGGCCTCTTGCGTATCTCGGGGAGCCTCTTGGGGCCTCTTGGGCGCCTCTTGGGGCCTCTTGGGGCCCTCTTGGGGCGCTCTTGGGGCGCTCTTGGGAGCCTTCGGGGCGCTCTTGGGGCCATGTTGGAGGAGATCTATCAAAGAAGGGGGGGTCAATTAGCGTTGCCCCTCTAGAGTGCCTCGAATCGTCTCTGGGGCCCCAAAAGAGGCCCAAACCCTTCCAAAACCTAGGGGAATCAATGCGTTTTTGTTTTCTGGCCTTTTCACTCTTGGAGCCGTCTTGGGCCATCTTGGACGCCCCAACGACCCGCGGAACCCTCCGTCCAGGTCCAGAGGAGGGGGTAGGGGGAGGGGGAAACCCCTCCCCGAAGGGGAAGAAGGGGGATGGAAGAGGAAACTCTATAGACCACCGACGCCCAGAGGGCTGATGGGATTGGAATTGCGATACTGTAGTACGAAAGGCTGGACCGATCAGACCAGCGGGGGGTAGATCCTATCATGTTTAGACCGGGGGATCTATGTGGTGCGCTCTAGGTGGGTGCAATTATTTCGACATAAAACGGTGTAATACAATGCGAAAGAAACGCCAGCCAATGCAACGTGACGCACCGCAATGTACAGCAACGCAGTGCAATGCGACGCAAGGCCAATCATCGCAAATAAATGAATCGCAATGTGGGGCAACGCCAAGCAATGCGATGCAAGCAATGCGACGCAATGCAGAGGACGCGGCGACGAGGCGGCGACGGCGTCGACATGTCGGCCAACGCCGCACGCAGGCCCAGGCGACGGGCGGCGACGAGGCGGCGACGGCGGCGACATGGCGGCCAAAGCGAGCCGCAGTCCCTGACGACGGGCGGCGACGAGGCGGCGGCAAGGCGGCGACGCCGTCGACGCTTAGGCACAGTTCCCTTAGACAGAGAAGTACGCCCCTAAGTGCAAGCACTGTTTGGAGAATGTGTGTGACTGTGTGAATGCGTGTGTAAGCGTGTTTGTGTGTGTGCGCGTCTGTGTAAGCGCGTTTGTGTGTAAGCGTGTTTGTGTGTAAGCGTGTGTGTATGTGTGAGTGTGTGTATGTGTGTGCGAGGCGTCGGAGGACCTTCCTGTCGTGCTTTGCTTTACTCGGTTTGGGAGGCTTGCTCCCGATTCCACAAAGTTGGGCGTGTGATTGTGTTGCCAACACGTGCCGTAGCATCTAATGTTGCGATTGTTACCCATTGTTGCCGCGGGGAGACACGGGTACATGTCAGTGTTCGATCATTGTTTACTTGGCGATTGTTCCCATCGCCGCTTGGGATATCACATTGTGTGTTATGCGTTTGTCGCATCCCTTTGGCGACCCTGCGCTGAGCGACCTCCGCCAACGCCGCGACTAAAACGTTGATGCGTGCGTGCGATCAGCTGTCAGGGATCTTCATCCTCCAGCTGCTGATGCTGCTGCGGTGGCAGTTGCTTCCGCTGACTGTGATCAGCCGCATCACCACCATCATCGTCATCACCCTCTCCCTTCATGACCCTCCTGATTCAGTCCTTCCACCAACGCCGCCGCCAGTTGGGTGGCGCAGACGGAGAAGGAGCTGTTCGAAGAAGAGGAGGAGGAGGAGGACTTCGACGATTTCGACGACCTCGACGACGAGGACGCGCTGCCCTGACACTCTCAAGCCCAGAAGGGGGGCTCGGGTAAGGACGAGGAGCAGGATGTGCTACCCTGGCTCTCAAGTCCAAAAGGGGGGTCATGGGTGAGGAGAAGGAGAAGGAGGAGTGGTCGTAGAAACAGCAGGAAAGATGGGCAGCTCGAGCGAGACAGCGGTTTCGCGACTATTACCCCCTTCCTGGCTCCACCTCGCACCGTCAGGTCCTCCCATTGTATGCTTCGCGCGCAGCGCTCGCGTCGTCCTTGGGGGGGAGATAGTCAGCATATTATCCAGTAGGAGATCGGCAGCCGTTCAATTTTCACGTGGTAGCATTGACGCCTCATTGGTTGAGGCCCCAAGGCCAGCAGGTTATGAGATATTTAAACCGCCAGACCCTGAGGCTGGAATTGACCATTGTGCCAGGAGACTTTGACACTTTCGTTCCTTGGCGGCCTCTTGGGGGCCTCTCGTGCGACTTTTTGGTGCTTTTTTCATTCCTCCAGGTCGCCTCTTGGGAGGCATCTTTGGGGGGCTTGGGCCACTGTGAGGAGGAAGACAGGGCGGAGTAAGGGTCCTTTCGGGCCCCTCCGCCTCATTCTTCGGGACCTTCCGCCCTAATTTTGCGCCCCTTTTTCGATATGGTCGACGTAAGCTTCCTTGAGTTGCGTGAGGTTTCCAGGGGTTTCGATGAATGCTTCCGCACCTTCCGCGAAGGTCGGAAGGTATGGAAGGTGCAGATGGAGGGTTCTTCTCTCGGGTTCCCCGTTGCCAGATTTACGCTGCCCCTTCGGGATCGCTCTGGTCACTGGAGCTGGCACGCAGACTCCTTGGGGCAGCGATAGGGGAAATTGGGCATAGGGGGGGATGCAGCGACCCCCCATCATTCATTGATCCCCTATAGGGGCTCGATAGTCTCAGCCTGCCCAGGAGCGTGCGATTCGCAATCGGGGGCCTAGCGCCGATCTATCGGCGATGTGCCGCCGATTCCAGGTCAATGTTCCCCCCTTCCATGGTCGCAGCCCCGTTCCCCCCCCTGTCGCAGCCCCGTCCCATGGTGTCCCAGAACGCACTCAGAGCGTTCCTGAACGCTCTGAGAAGGCCGCAAGGCCGATACCTCCTGCAGAGCCGCCGGATCTAAGAGATTCTTGATTCATCCTCACCGATTTTATCGTCCTGGTTTCGTGTTACTCCCTGTCCCGGTCCCTTTCTCGGCGGCAAGCGAGGGGGAGTAAGTGAGAAGGAGCAGGTCTTCTCAGAAGGCCCGCAAGTCCCCCGGCCTTCCGAGAAGTTTTTTTCTAAGTTTTCCTTGAAGACACAGACGCAGAACACTTCTCAGAAGGCGCAAGAGGTTCTGAGAGGTCCTGCCGCCTGCTGAGAAGGCCTTCCCCTCCGCATGTGCCCCCCTCGCTCGATCCCGCCTTCAGCGTACTGCCCGGTCCTGGCGCCTCCTGCGACCTCTGGTCAGAGCGTGCAGCCCACCCCTTGACATCGCTCGGACTTGTGCGTTCGCTTCTCGCTGGCCCCGTTTATTCCTGGCGCTGGTGCAGCCAACTCTGCCCCGCCGCCGACCAAAAGAGTGCGTATTCTTCTCATCGAGAACCGTCGAGGAGTACTTTGGGTCATCCCTCGTCCTTGGCATCGCTCGCACGTGTGCATTTTCCTTCGGCGAGGATCATCGAGGAGCATCCTTGATGATTTGGCGAAAAAGCCACGCACGAAACCAAAACACCAGGGAATGGACGTACGAGCGATGGCCAGGGAGGGGGGTGATGACTAGGGTTATGTCGGGCCTGTCACCCTACAGGGGGATGTTCGACGACAGTTAAACAAATACCCCAAAATACCCCAAAAGGGTCAAAACATGTTTAATAAATAGTCCCCAGACCATTGTTGGACTATTTTTTATTATTTTCAGGGTATTTTTTTTCGTCGAAAATCCCCGTGTAGGGGAACAGGCCCGACCTAAGACTAGGGGGGGTGGATTCTTCTTATTTCATTACGTCCCTGGCCCCCCCGCTGGGCCGCGCACATGCCGCCGGTCATGCTTTGGCACCCCCCCCTCTTGGACACCCCCCCCTTGGCCGCTCAGGCCGCTCCCGAACGAAGGATGGCGCCCAGCTGGAAGCCCCTCCATCGGGGCTCGAGTACAGTCGGACAGAGGTCTAAGTCAGAGGAGGAGAGAAGGCACCCATGCCGCTGCCCGTCCTTCGATCTCGCCGATGCGGGTCTCCTCGGAGGCCCTCGTCGCCTCCGCTGGACTCGCGTCGAAAGCCTGGTCGGAACGCACCCCGGGAGAAGTCCGGGGAGTAGCGGTATCCGTACCTTCTGGCATCCCCAAAGATATCGAGGTCGGCTTGGGGAGAGTACCCTGATGTTCTTCGTGCCTCTTGGGTGTTCTGGGGCGCCCTCGGGGAGGGCACCCTCGAATGTCCTCGGTTGGGTCGGCGGAGGGTCGCACGTTCTTGAAGGATGTTCGTCTAGCGTAGGTCCGATTGTAATCCAGCGGCATCTACGCGAGAGTCCGCCACCCCGCTCAGACAGGCTCTTCGTGGAGGGGGTAAGGGGGTTGCGGCGGGAAGCCACCAGGGATGTAGGTGCCACGGGGGGGGGTAGGCGTAAGTCAAGCAGTAGCAAGGCGTCTTGGTTTGCCTATAGGCTCGGTCTAACTTCCTGTGGGGTTTGCGCGAATTGATCTTAGAGCATTGTTGGCTGGGGCTGTCTTGTTTTAACACAATTGGTTTATGTTCTGAGGACATCGTTCTTGTCCGTAGAACATTATTTGCGGGCTCTAGGGTTCTAGGAACATTTCTGGGTAGGCCTATAGGAAATCTGGGACGGTCGGTCCCTGCTCAATTAGGGGGGGGATCCCTTTCCCCCCAATCGCCCACTGATCCCCTGTAGGAGCGCGACGACCCCGCCCAGCCCGGGACCGCGGGGATTCGTTATCGGGGGCAGATTGTAGTCAGTCGAACGGGCAATTAATGGGCTCGAGTCGTCGGGGGCCTCACCACCTGACTTTGCAAGAAACATGTTTGTTCACGCATACAGATGCCCGCGCACACCGGCAACAGTGCGATTGCTGGAGCCGTTTTACTCCAGCCCCACGTCGCCAATGCGGTGCGTAAGCGCAGCCCCAAAGATGTGGGACATGTTGGACGGGGCTAGGGGTAGGACGAGGATACGCCGTTCCAGAGCTTCCCGGAACGCTCTCAGAGTGTTCTGGAACGTTCTGACAGGGCCGCGGCGCCCGAGACATCCTTCAGAGCCGCCGGGTCGCAGAGATTCTCGATTTATCCTCACCCGCATTTGTCCTCGTGTACGGGCTTCGTCTTAACATGTGGTCGCCTCTAGAATGCTGCTCCACTCGAATCGTCTTGTTTCCTCTTGTCACGTGCACTAAGCAGGGTGATGTGTGCAGGAAAGGCCGCGTGACGCGGGGCGTTGCGGCTGCGGCTGGCGGCCTGCCTGGGCTCGCCGGTCTAATTCGTTGCATGCCCCTCCTCTTCTCCTCCTCCTCCTCCTGCCCCTCCTTCTCGTCCTCATGCTCCCCTCCGTCCTCTCTCTCTCTCTCTGCCGCAGGGCGCTTCGCGGACGGTAAACAGATGTACCACAACGGTTTGCGCTTGCTCCCTGTCTTCAGGGGGCCTGGGGGATGAGTCTTCGTGCTCGCAGTCCCTCTCTCACGCCACTTGCTCTGGTGCACGACGAACCAACGTAAGGAATGGTACATGAATGGCACGTCAAGTCCCGAGACGGCATTGGCACTGGTATGGATGGTTCGTTGTTGCAGCAATGCCTTGCTTTAGATCAGGGATTGTTTACCAGAGAAGAAAGAACCACAACCACCAGCCAGGGGGGCTGGCGGCTCCCCCCCTCCGAGCTGGAGGCACCCCGTTTCGGACGCGCCACCACAGATTGCCCAGATCGGAGTGCCACCAGCTCGGGTGGGTGGTCTTTGGGATCGGAGCTCTAAGGAGTTCTGGTGGAAGTTGTTCTTTTATCCCTCATGAACTGTGGGAGTTGTGTGTTCTGTGTTTGCTCTCTGTGCTCTTTTTGCTCTCACCGAACGCGTTCCTTTACTCGCAAAGTGCCTACTCGCAAACGTCTGAAATAACACGTCTGCCTCGATGTGGTGCGTCGCAGATCCCCAAGGGCAGATCCCGACGATTTGCTAGTAGTTTCCTTTGCGAATCTTGGAACGCGCTTGTCTAATTGTCACCTGCGTGAGTTTTGGACGGCCCCGCCCGCTGACTAACATGCCGCCCAGGACGGCGAGTTCGGCCAGGACGGCTTTGCCCAGGCGACGCCCGCCGCCGCACAACACGTGGTTGGCCGCTCTCATACCTGGTTGGGTTGGATACTTGCGGGATGGTCGTTGCAAGAGTGCCTTATTTTTTCGTTCGTTTTCAGGGGGCGGGCGGGGACAACGTCTAGTTCACCGCCCTCACTTCATGGTTCTACCTGCTTCTTCCGACCGACCATTAGGTAGTGTGAGCAGCAGAAGAACACGAGGCGGTGCTTTTTGCTCCCCATGGCGGGCTGATATAGTCCGACTCCAGATCTTACAGGTACGTTGAGATGTCTAGTTGGCATGGCCGTATTGCTATCCAGTGGTCTGCAGCATAGCCCGCCACATGAAGGATGCTCATACCCAGCCCTCCCGATTGCAATCGGTAGAACTCTCGGTTCTATGGCAAGTGCATGTGCAATATGTTCCGCAACGTTTCATGGATGGTGCACGGCTCTCCAAAAGAGGGTCGGTAGATTAATTTTGGCCGTTTTGCTGCCCTTTTCGAGCCGTCTCGGGGCGTTATCCGGGTGTATGGGGGTGCTCTGAAGATCGTTTTGGGCCTCTCTTGAGGCATTCATGGATCCCTTTCGGGTCGTCTTGTGACTCGCTGAGGCACTCTTGGGGCCATCTGACGCCAGACAGCTCAGAAAGCTAACCACATGCTGTTTTGCACGTGTCGCACAGCAGCAGACTAGCTCATCAATGATTCTGCTCCCATCAACCGGCACCATAGCTTCCACTACTTTGAGCAGTCTTAGGATATTCCAGACGCTTCGCGTAACCCCACCAGTCAGCAAAGCCAGCCGCTGTGCTTTTGAGCTTGCGCGTTGCTAATTTGACAGGCCCATGGCCCGGACCTCTCAGCTCGGCGACTGCGAATCCGCGTCCGCCCGCGACCAAAAAAAAGTAACCCCACCAGCCCAGCCAGAAACGATGGCCAGGCAGCTTGCCCCGATCGGGGACGTGGAGGAGCACGCTGTGGATGGAACCGGTGGGGGCCGGGGGCGCCCCGCGAGGGGGGCGGGGCGGCGGAGGGCTCGGCCGAGGATATGAGCCCGAGGGGGCCGCGGGAGGCGACGGCTCGGAGGCCCGGCTGTGGAGCTCCGCCGCCCAGGGCTTGGCATCGCTCGGACGTGTGCATTTTTTCTTTCGGCGAGGGCCATCGAGGAGCATCGAGGAGTACTTACTTATTTTTTTTGGCGAGGATCACTTGGCAAAAAAACCACGCGCGAAACCGAAAAAAACACAGGGAGTGGACGTCCGAGCGATGGCCAGAAGGGGGGGGGGGGACGGCCACGGCGGCAGGGCGGGGGCCCCACGAAGGAGCGACGAGCCAGGCGCCGACGAGGACTCACCACCCACCAACCCACCCCAACCCAACCCGAAGGCCTCAATTTGCACTCCATTTCCAGTGGGGGGGGTCGGGGAACATTGAAAAAACACAGATGGAACCCTTACCAGCCCCCCCAAACCCGAGATTCGGGTATTCGGGTTGGGTTGGGGTGGTCTGTCAGGTAGAAAGGACGGAGCCGACGAGCTGCATGGGCTCCTCGACCAGCTTCAGGGGCTCGCCCTAGGGGGGCCACATGCGAACCCTGCCCCTGCCCCCCACGAGTTCTGCGGGGGGGGGGCTCACCTCGCTCGGGAGCCCCCGAGCGAGGTGAGCCCCACCCTCCCCCTCAGAAATCGTTTGGGGCAGGGGTAGGGTTCGCATGTGGCCCCTTAGGGCGAGCCCCGGGGGGGGGGGGAAGTCAGTAGGGGCGGGCGGGCCTGCTCAGGCAGGCTCGGAAGTCCCCTGGCCTTGTGAGAAGTTTTCCGGAGCCTTCCCCGACGGCACCAAGCGCCTCTCGGGAGGCGCGGGGAGGGCTCCCGAGAAGTCCCCGCCGCCGGAGAGGGTTTTCTCCTTCTCGATTCCCCCCCCCATCGCTCGCCTTAGGTCGGGCCTGTCCCCATACAGGGTGATTTTGGTGTGAAGAATTGAAAATATCTATAACCTATTCGAACATATGAACACATATTCGAAACATCGTCCCCTGACTATTTCCCCATATCCTAAGATGGGGGTCTTGTTATTACTTGGACGCCTCCTACTCCTCCTCCTTCCTCTTCTTCTCCTCCTCCTCCTCATTCTCCTCCTCATGCCTGGACTTACTCATACACAGACTTACTCATACACAGACTTACTCATACTCAGACCTGATCATAGTAACTTTACTCATACTCAGACCTACTCATACACAGACCTACTCCTCAGACTTACTCATACTGAGACTCACTCATACCCAGACTTACTCATGCTCAGACCTTCTCATTGTCTGACTTACTCAACACACAGCAGATTGTGAGGATGTCTCAGGCGGGGCGCTGGTTTCAGCACCCCTAAGTGGAGCCGCCGAGGGGTGTTGCACGGTCCCGTTCGCGGCCGTTTTGTGGGGATGTCTCAAGCGGTTTGCTGGTTTTCTGTTCCAACATCCTTCGCTTTCGGAGCAGATTTGGAGAATGTCTTGAGCGAGGCGCTCATTTTCACCCCCCTAAGGGGGGCCGCCGTGGAGTATTGCACGGTCCTGTTCGCGGCCGGTTTGTGGGGATGTCTCACGCGGTTTGCTTGTTTTCTGTCCCAACAGCCTTCGTTGTCGAAGCAAATTTGGAGGATGTCTCGAGCGAGGCGCTCATTTTCACCCCCTACAGCATCCTTCGCTTTCGGAGCAGATTTGGAGGATGTTTCGAGCGAGGCGCTCATTTTCCCCCCCCAGGTGGGCCAGATGTTGAGGATGTCTCCATCGGTTTGCCTGTTTTATCTCGAGGATCGTGGCCCTGGTCCCACAGGGAGCCCCACTGAAGTTTGATTTCGGCGCACCCCTCTCACGGATCGTGGCCCTGGCCCCACAAGGGTTCCGTAGACATTCTTTTAAAATTATCCTGGCGAAGGACCCAACCATATGCAATTGTGAATACTGCAATTGTGAATATCTTCTCGGTGGAGCCCCCTACGGGGCCACGAAACGTACGAGGGGTGTGCCGAAATGGGTGTGCGGGACGCATGCGGGCACACCCACTGGGGCCTTCGGTGGAGCTCCCTATGGGGCCACGAAACGTGTGAGGGGTGTGCCGAAATGGGTGTGCGGGACGCATGCGGGCACACCCACTGGGACCTTCGGCGGAGCTCCCTATGGGCCACGGAACGCGTGAGGGGCGTGCCGAAATGGGTGTGGCTGACGCATGCGGGCGCGGCCACTGGGGCCTTCGGTGGAGCTCCCTATGGGGCCACGAAACGTGTGAGGGGTGTGCCGAAATGGGTGTGGGTGACGCATGCGGGCGCGGGCACTGGGGCCTTCGGTGGAGCTCCCTATGGAGCCACGAAACGTGTGAGGGGTGTGCCGAAATGGGTGTGGGTGACGCATGCGGGCGCGGGCACTGGGGCCTTCGGTGGAGCTCCCTATGGAGCCACGAAACGTGTGAGGGGTGTGCCGAAATGGGTGTGGGTGACGCATGCGGGCGCGGGCACTGGGGCCTTCGGTGGAGCTCCCTATGGAGCCACGAAACGTGTGAGGGGTGTGCCGAAATGGGTGTGGGTGACGCATGCGGGCGCGGGCACTGGGGCCTTCGGTGGAGCTCCCTATGGAGCCACGAAACGTGTGAGGGGTGTGCCGAAATGGGTGTGGGTGACGCATGCGGGCGCGGGCACTGGGGCCTTCGGTGGAGCTCCCTATGGAGCCACGAAACGTGTGAGGGGTGTGCCGAAATGGGTGTGGGACGCATGGGGCGCGGGCACTGGGGCCTTCGGTGCCTCCTGTGACAAAGCTGTGAGGGGTGTGCCTATGGAGCTCCCTATGTGAGGGGTGTGCCCGCATGCGGGCGCGGGCACTGGGGCCTTCGGTGGAGCTCCCTATGGAGCCACGAAACGTGTGAGGGGTGTGCCGAAATGGGTGTGGGTGACGCATGCGGGCGCGGGCACTGGGGCCTTCGGTGGAGCTCCCTATGGAGCCACGAAGCGTGTGAGGGGTGTGCCGAAATGGGTGTGGGTGACGCATGCGGGCGCGGGCACTGGGGCCTTCGGTGGAGCTCCCTATGGAGCCACGAAACGTGTGAGGGGTGTGCCGAAATGGGTGTGGGTGACGCATGCGGGCGCGGGCACTGGGGCCTTCGGTGGAGCTCCCTATGGAGCCACGAAACGGTGTACTGGGTGGGTGAAGAGGAGAGGAGGAGAGGAGGGGAGGAGAGGAGGAGAGGAGAGGAGAGGAGAGGAGAGGAGAGGAGAGGAGAGGAGAGGAACGCGGGGCACCGTCTCTTCAAAACGAGGACCCAACACCACAGGATGGTTGGGATTACTATAGGATTCCGACAGAATCCTACAGGATTCCATAGGTCTCCTATAGGAATTCTACGTGATCCCTACAGGGTCCTACAAGATTCCATAGGAACCTTATAGGAATCCTGTTGGAATCCTATAGGATCCCTGCAGGGTCCTACAGGAGTCCATAGGAAACCAATTGGAATCCTGTAGGAATCCTATAAGATCCCTACAGGGTCCTACAGGATTCCATGATAATCCTATTGGACTCCTTGAGAAAACCTTCTTAGGATCCCAGCAGGGCCCTTCAGGATTCCATCGGAATGCTATTGGGATCATATTGGAATCCAATGGGATCCCTACAGGGTCCAAGAGGATTACATAGGAAGCCTATTGGAGTCCTGTTGAAAAGCATATAGGGTCCCGACAGGGTCCTACAGGATTCCATAGGAATCCTAGTGGAATCCTTTTGGAAATCCTTTAGGGTCCATGCAGGGTCCTACAGGATTCGGTAGGAATTTCATCGTAATGCTATTGGAATCCGATGGAACCCCTACCGTGTCCTACAGGATTCCAGAGGAATCCTATTGGAATATCATTGGAAACCCATCGGGTCCCTAGAGGGTCCTACAGGATTCCACAGGAATGCCATTGACATCCTAGGGGGCTCTTATTGGAATCCGATCGGATCCTTACAGGGTCCCACAGGATTCTCTGGGATTCCAATCGGAATCTTATTGGTGTCCTATTGGATCCCTACAGGGTCCTACAGGGTTCCATAGGATCCTAATAGGAATCCTATTGGGGTCCTTTTGGATCCTTATAGGATCCCTTCGATGTTCTACAGGATTCCATTGGAACCCTATAGGAATCCTATAGGATCCCTACAGGGTCCTATAGGATTCCATAGGAACCCGATTGTAATACTAGTGGAATCCTATGGGATCCCTACAGGGTCCTACAGGATTCCGTAGGATTCCGATAGGAATCTCATAGGATCCCTACAGGATTCCATAGCAACCCTATAGGCATCCGAGGGGGGCCCTATAGGATCCTTACAGTGTCCTACCGGATCCCATCGGAACCCGATAGGAATCCTATAGGATCCTTACATTGTCTTGCAGGATTCCATAGGAATCCTATAGGGAGGAGGAGCTGGCCTCGCTGGCGCGCGGTCGGTTTTCGGACACGGGAGTGCGTGGGGAACAGTACGGCAGCCCACGGAGATTTGGAAACACATAGATTTACGTCAGCGTATGACAGAGGTGTTGCGCGTTGCTCGCCCCCCCGGGGGCAACAACTGCAACGTGTGGCCTGGGGGAGTGCGCTCGCCCCGTGGGCGAGGACACCGCCCGCCGGGTTGGTCTGAGAGGTTGTCCTTGCGTTGTTGTTGCTGTTGTTGTTGTTGTTGTTGTTGTTGTTGTTGTTGTTGCTGGTGTTGTTGTTGTTGTTGTTGCTGCTGCTGTTGTTGTTGTTGTTGTTGTTGGTGGTGGTGGTGGTGGTGGTGGTGTAGTTGTTGTTGTTGTTGTTCAATCTCGACGGGCTGGCTAATCTCGACCTACAGAACTTTTCACGAGCCACGGGTCCGCTACGACACGCGTCCGCGGATAGAGAAAATCAGCGCCATGGTAAGGGATGGGAGGGAGGGGTAGGACGTCAGATATGACGCGAGCGCACCTAGCTTGCCCTTCCCCCCTCCCCCTTCCCCCCCCCACTCCCCCTTCCCCCGCTCCCCTCCCTCCTCCCCCCCTCCCCCTGCCATTCGTCCTACGTGCCCTTCCCCCGCCCCCCTCCCCCTTGGTTTTGCCCCCTTGCCCTCCTGACCCCCTGTCGTGCTCCCCCCATTTTGGCCCCGACACAGAAGTCACATCTTGCGGGCTGGTCAATCTCGACCTACAGAACTTTTCACGAGCTTGTTTCCTTCCCGCCGGGGTCGGCCAGGGCCATGGCGCCGTCCTCATTCGTCGCCCTGCTGCTGCTGCTGGTTTCGCGCTCGCTCGCCACGGCCGGCGGCCGCTCGTGCCCAGACGCGGAGTCCCAGCTGCTCCAGCTCTCGAGCAGTCAGATTTCTGGCGGCGGCGGCGGCTCGGGGCTGGCGGCCACGGACCTGGATTCCGTGGTGTGGCCCACCCGCGGCGGACCTCAGCTGGGGAACAAATGCCCAGTACCGCTGCTCGTCCTGGAGAGCCTTCGTCGCCACGGCTGGATTCGCTTCGAGATTCTGGCCAGAACGCACCCCAGGAGAGGTTAAGGGAGCAGCGGTATGTGTATATTTTCGCTCAGCAGGAAGGGCGAGCTCCTGCTGCCGCTGCAACTACGTCATGCGCATCCGCGTCCCGGCCGCGAACATGCCCGCCGGCCCGCAGCAGCTTCGCATCAAGTTCGCACAGTCGAACAACGGCATCGCGTACGTGGCTTTCGGTGAGGAGCAGTCCCCAGGCGTGATGAAGGCTGGCACCATCAAGAACCTGTGCTTTGACGGGCAGGTCGGCGACTGCACCACGGCCGTGTCTCTTCTGGCTTCTGCGTTGTACACCAAGTGGTTCGACTACACGATCAACACCGCCAAGAATTATTACGTATCATACCTTCACCTCTGCGGCCCTGGCGGTCCCTCGTCGGGGACAACCCCTGACGGTGTGTGGTTCAGCGGTTACAACACTAATACAGAAGACGCATACGCGTACTGGTCACATTGGGGTACTGCGACGTGGTACAACGCCCTCCGCGAGAACGGTCTGGCCGGGACCCTTCGCGGACCCAGTGCGCTCGTGTACGGCCACTACTCACGCGATCCGGGCGCCAGCATCGCAGGCGGTTGGAAATCTCTGAATCGAATCGAAGGCATCCAGGGTATCGAGTCCACGCCAATCCCGACGCCGTACCCGACGCGTTACCCGACGCCGTACCCGACGCGTTACCCGACGCCGTACCCGACGCGTTACCCGACGCCGTACCCGACGCGTTACCCGACGCCCTACCCGACGCCTTACCCAACGCCCTACCCGACGCCGTTTCCGACGCCCTACCCGACGCCCTACCCAACGCCCTACCCGACGCCCTATCCAACGCCCTACCCCACGACGGCCTTCCCAACGCCGTACCCGAGCGCGGGCTCAGCGGGATTTACTCTGGATCGTGGCCCGGGGAGCGCGGACGCAGCATAATCTACAAGCGATCGCATGGCCCTTGAGATCTCGACTAATAATGGGGCGCGAAGATCCAAGGCGGCTCCAGGTGATCCGCGGCTCGTCCCTTGGCGCGTCTCTGGCGCGTCTCGTGCCGCGCCCCGTGCCACGTCCCGTGCCACGCAACGTAATTTACGAGGGATCGTGGCCCTGGGTCAAGGACGTCCCGTGGCACGTTCCCTGACGCGTTCCCTGGCACGTCCCCTGGCGCGTCGCCTGGCGCGTTCCCTGGTGCATTCCGTGGCGCGTCCCGTGGCGCGTTCGCGGCGCGTCCACTAGCATGTCCGCTGGCATGTCCACTGGCACGTTCCGTAATGCGTCCCCGTGGCACATCCCGCGGTGCGTCCCCATGGCACGTCGCACTTCCCTTGGCGCGTCCCTTGGACGTTCCGCGGAACGTCCCCCTGGCATGTCCCGCGGCGCGTCCCGTGGCACGTCCCTTGGCGCGTCCCCTTGCACATCTGTGCGGCACGGTGCAGCGCAGCGGAGCACAACACAGCCCCTGGCACAGCATCATCACCATCGATATCTTCAGCATTGCCTTTTCCCCTCGACCAATTGAGATCCTTAGAAACGTTTCCATGCCTCGCAGTTCTTGATATCTCTCCGGGCTCCAAACACTTTTCAAATTTCCCAAGAAGGCTCCGACGCCTGCCCCTACGCCAGCCCCGAGTGCTGCTGCAGTCGGGGATCCCCACCTGGTAAATATGCACGGGGAGCGTTTTGATCTCCTTAAGGTCGGCAGGCACTTGCTGGTCGAGGTCCCACATTTTGCAGCGGAGAGCTCGACGCTCCTGGCCGTCGCGGCCGTGGCACAGCGTTTTGGCGACGCCTGCTCGGACGTTTACTTTGTGTCCCTTAATGTGACTGGCAAGTGGGCGGACAGCGTGCGCGAGGGCGGCTTCCATTACAAGGCCAAGCAGCCGCAGGCCCATCGTAAGGGAACGGGCTGGATCGGTTTCCACAGCATTCAATTGAAAACCGTATGGGGCCGTACTGGCGGAGGCATTTCCTACCTGAATTTGTTCATCAAGAACTTGGGCAAGTCGGGGTATCCAGTCGGCGGTTTGCTCGGCGGTGGGGACCATTCGACTGTGACCACGCCCGAGTCGCGCTGCAAGCGCGTACTCGTACTCTAAGCATGTCCATCTCTTGTTTAATTGCATGGCACTGCAGCCCAGGGTAGCAGCGCCTTTCACGCAGCGGTATCCAGCGATCTGCAGCCCCAGGTAGCAGCTCCTGTACAGTGCTGGCCGCTGCATCCGCGGCACTCTCTGCTCAGAGCAAGCGAGAGAAGATGCCCGCGGCAGAGCTACACCTTGCTTAAGTGTGTCTGACACCATGGTGCCGTGAGGATTGCCACGGCCTCATTTTGACGCCTCATCCTTGAGAGGTGTGAGAACATGACTCCTCATCCTCGTGGTTCTGGTCCTCGTCTTCGCCCCACTCCGCGCCCCCGTGTCTCTGCAAGCTCCCCCTCCCTATCGGTACCCACCCCAAGATCTAGAAAGAGAGCGAGAGAGAAACACATATCCTGGCGAAGGACCCAACCATATGCAATCGTGAATACTGCAATTGTGAATATCTTCTCGGTGGAGCCTCCTACGGGGCCACGAAACGTACGAGGGGTGTGCCGAAATGGGCGTGCGGGACGCATGCGGGCACACCCACTAGGGCCTTCGGTGGAGCTCCCTATGCGGCCACGAAACGTGTGAGGGAGTTGACGAAATGGGTGTGGCTGACGCATGCGGGCGCGGGCACTGGGGCCTTCGGTGGAGCTCCCCATGGGACCACGAAACGTTTGAGGGGTGTGCCGAAATGGGTGTGGTGACGCATGCGGGCGCGGGCACTGGGGCCTTCGGCGGAGCTCCCTATGGGCCACGAAGCGTGTGAGGGGTGTGCCGAAATGGGTGTGGGTGACGCATGCGGGCGCGGGCACTGGGGCTCTATGGAGCCACGAAGCGTGTGAGGGGTGTGCCCATGCTGGAGCTCCCTATGGAGCCACGAAACGTGTGAGGGGTGTGCCGAAATGGGTGTGGGTGACGCATGCGGGCGCGGGCACTGGGGCCTTCGGTGGAGCTCCCTATGGAGCCACGAAACGTGTGAGGGGTGTGCCGAAATGGGTGTGGGGGACGCATGCGGGCGCGGGCACTGGGGCCTTCGGTGAGCTCCCTATGGAACCACGTCCGAAATGGGTGTGGGTGACGCATGCGGGCGCGGGCACTGGGGCCTTCGGTGGAGCTCCCTATGGAGCCACGAAACGTGTGAGGGGTGTGCCGAAATGGGTGTGGGTGACGCATGCGGGCGCGGGCACTGGGGCCTTCGGTGGAGCTCCCTATGGAGCCACGAAACGCATGTGTACTGGGGTGGGTGAAGAGGAGAGGAGGAGAGGAGGGGAGGAGAGGAGGAGAGGAGAGGAGAGGAGAGGAGAGGAGAGGAGAGGAGAGGAGAGGAGAGGAGAGGAACGCGGGGCACCGTCTCTTCAAAACGAGGACCCAACACCACAGGATGGTTGGGAATACTATAGGATTCCGACAGAATCCTACAGGATTCCATAGGTCTCCTATAGGAATTCTACGTGATCCCTACAGGGTCCTACAAGATTCCATAGGAACCTTATAGGGATCCTGTTGGAATCCTATAGGATCCCTGCAGGGTCCTACAGGAGCCCATAGGAAACCAATTGGAATCCTGTAGGAATCTTATAAGATCCCTACAGGGTCCTACAGGATTCCATGATAATCCTATTGGACTCCTTGAGAAAACCTTCTTAGGATCCCAGCAGGGCCCTTCAGGATTCCATCGGAATGCTATTGGGATCATATTGGAATCCTATGGGATCCCTACAGGGTCTCAGAGGATTACATAGGAAGCCTATTGGAGTCCTGTTGAAAAGCATATAGGGTCCCGACAGGGTCCTACAGGATCCCATAGGAATCCTAGTGGAATCCTTTTGGAAATCCTATAGGGTCCATGCAGGGTCCTACAGGATTCGGTCGAAATCTTATCGTAATACTATTGGAATCCGATGGAACCCCTTACCGTGTCCTACAGGATTCCAGAGGAATCCTATTGGAATCTCATTGGAAACCCATCGGGTCCCTAGAGGGTCCTACAGGATTCCACAGGAATGCCATTGACATCCTAGGGGGCTCTTATTGGAATCCTATCGGATCCTTACAGGGTCCCACAGGATTCTCTGGGATTCCAATCGGAATCCTATTGGGGTCCTATAGGATCCCTACAGGGTCTTACAGGGTTCCATAGGATCCTAATCTGAATCCTATTGGGGTCCTTTTGGATCCTTATAGGATCCCTTCGATGTTCTACAGGATTCCATTGGAACCCTATAGGAATCCTATAGGATCCCTACAGGGTCCTATAGGATTCCATAGGAACCCGATTGTAATACTAGTGGAATCCTATGGGATCCCTACAGGGTCCTACAGGATTCCGTAGGATTCCGATAGGAATCCGATAGGATCCCTACAGGATTCCATAGCAACCCTATAGGCATCCGAGGGGGGCCCTATAGGATCCTTACAGTGTCCTACCGGATCCCATCGGAACCCGATAGGAATCCTACAGGATCCTTACATTGTCTTGCAGGATTCCATAGGAATCCTATAGGGAGGAGGAGCTGGCCTCGCTGGCGCGCGGTCGGTTTTCGGACACGGGAGTGCGTGGGGAACAGTAAGGCAGCCCACGGAGATTTGGTAACACATAGATTTACGTCAGCGCATGACAGAGGTGTTGCGCGTTGCTCGCCCCCCCGGGGGCAACAACTGCAACGTGTGGCCTGGGGGAGTGCGCTCGCCCCGTGGGCGAGGACACCGCCCGCCGGGTTGGTCTGAGAGGTTGTCCTTGCGTTGTTGTTGTTGTTGTTGTTGTTGTTGTTGTTGGTGTTGTTGTTGTTGTTGCTGGTGTTGTTGTTGTTGCTGCTGCTGCTGCTGTTGTTGGTGGTGGTGTTGTTGAACATTATTAATTCTAAAGAATAATTATTGTTGGGACCCCTGGTGCACGGCCCCCCTGCGCCGCCTAGGCCGCAGCTACATTTTCATCATTTTCGTGAGGAAGCCTCAGGTAATTCGATGTGATCAAGATCCGGTTGTTTTGTTCCCCCCCGCTTTCCCTTGCAAAAAACACTATAAAATGAAATTTCTTGTTCTAAAATAACCAAACTTCAAGAATCCCTTGCAAAAAATAAGGTAAAGTGGACATTCGCGCGCGCAAGACGAAATCCTTCCAAAACCTTAGTGTTCGTAACGATTTCAACATAAAAACATCAAAAAACCAATGGTTTTTTAAAAAAAAAAATGTCACAATTTCATCCCGCGCGCTCTTGCGGATTTGCAGGAAACCCAACTTTTTTAAACATTTCTGTCAAACGGGCTTTTGCGATCAACTTCTTCACGTGCTTCGAACTTCTCCAACAACGGTTGCGCACCTGCCAGGGCCATCATCCCTGTCAAATAATACCATGCGGGACACATTCGTTTTTTCTTTCCGTGCGCACGCCGAAATCTTCAAAAACCATTGGGTTTCGTAGGAATTTTAGCACCGCGCAACATAAAATCATTTTTCGCACCGTAGGCCCTTCAAATCGTCGTCGTCGTATACTAAGCTAGTTTCCACAAGATGTTACCACAAGAAGTCATTGAAACCATGCGCCAGTGTAGTAGCCACGGTCGTCCGCATGCCACGAAGTGAAGTGTCCGAACGTCATAGGGCGGGAAGCTGGGTGTGGGTGGTGGCGAAGAGTCGTTTGGAAATGTGGTAGAGCTTGAACCGGCCCCCCCACAAAGTGGGGGTATTGGCGGGCGTCGTATGAAAACCCTGGCACTGGTGAGAACACTGAGCGTTCGGGTAAAATGATTGTTGTTGTTGTTGTTGTTGTTCAATCTCGACGGGCTGGCTAATCTCGACCTACTGAACTTGTCACGAGCCACAGGTCCGCTACGACACGCGTCCGCGGATAGAGAAAATCAGCGCCATGGTAAGGGATGGGAGGGAGGGGTAGGACGTCAGATATGACGCGAGCGCACCTAGCTTGCCCTTCCCCCCTCCCCCTTCCCCCCCCCCACTCCCCCTTCCCCCGCTCCCCTCCCTCCTCCCCCCCTCCCCCTGCCATTCGTCCTACGTGCCCTTCCCCCGCCCCCCTCCCCCTTGGTTTTAGTTAGTTTTCCAGCGTGAGCTGTCGAACCATTGATGGCTTGAGCCATACCGTTTACGGATAGTCGAATAAACATTCAAACATATCTCAAACATCTCTGATGGTTCTGAAGCCTCTTACCCCGAACTCATACACACAATCTAACTCCGATGCCTGTCCTTTACAGAACCGTAGGAAAACAAACACAGCGGAGCGTGGAGCGATCCACAACTGCTTTAAACATACAGCTTAGCTCTATCTCGATAGCTTCTGTAAGACATGCAACAATGCTTTTCGAACATCAGGCTGGCTTGCTAGGCTAACGTGAAAAACTCCTGTGCTTTCGAGCTTTATCGAGGAAGCTGGAGGTAGGACGAGTGAGGAGCAGCAACGCAAAGGCAAACGCTCATTTCTCCTCATCACATGACTCAACTCATGTCTCTCTCGCGGGTCGTCCCCACGACTGCAACGCATGTCGTAGTAGACGTCGTGATCTAGCTACTCCTGGAGGTTCTCGATCTCCTTCTCGGTAGCTTCCGGGTGTTGTGCTGCTCTCTTGTGTCGAACTGCCTGGCCCTCGATGAGGGTGATCTTCCACTTGCCGGTAGTGCAGTACACCAAGAGCTGATCGAACCAGCCTTCCTTCGTGAGGCCGTCGGCTAGCATGATCCTGGTTGGAACGTGTAGTAGAGAACGAATACGATGATGAACTCGATCTTCGCGAAGTGCCATGATGGCCACTCTCTGCGACTTATCAGATGGTATGCCACGGCCACCTGTGATCAGCTCGAAGAGGTCCATGCAATCTGTCACCGCATCATGCGGTATGATCGTGATATCCTTCTGGCTTAGCTCCAGCATGTCATGTGCGGTGATCGTGGCACGCGGAGGCAGCAGCATCTGGCAGAACAACTCTGTGAGCCTTGCCGCGATCAGCTGACCCATCTGAGTACATCCGATGGCTGAAAGCGTCTCCGCATGCGATGT